GGCAGGTCTGGACGAGGGCGGATACAGATAGAAAGAGGAGTCTTGGGTGACTTTCGCTTCTCTTCATTCTCAAAGGCCTGCGTTTGCCCTGTGAGCCTTCCTGGGGTCAGGGTGCAGCCCACCATCCCTGGCATCTCAGCTGGGACAAAATGTGGCTGTGGCAGGGCCCCTACTCTGCTGCCTGCCTCCTCCGGGTGGCCTCTGGCTCTCCTGAGCAGTGCTGTGCCTGAAGAGTGATGGCCCACAGCCGGCCGCAGCCCCACATGGGTCAGAGAGGAAGAGTTGGGGGGTGGGGGGCGCTCCAGGGTGGCACTGGTGATGGCAGGCAATGGGCGTGGGAGGCTCCCTGCCCTGCGTCAGGCTGCAAGCCGTGGTCCAGCAGCAGCTCAGGCTGTACCGACACCGACAGGCACCAACCGCTCCCTGTGCCAGGTGGCTCTTGGAGACCCGACCGGCCTCAAGGTGAGATCTGCACAGGCCAAGAGCTGGAAGGACAATTGCAGCATGGGTTCTGAGTGAAAGGAGTGGCCAGGGACCTCAGAATCACCACTAGTTGAGCTTCTTGCTGACAGGAAGACTGTGATAGGACTCACTCCTCAAACAGAGATGTCTTCAGGGTCCGCTGTGCACAGATGAGACTGAGTGTCAGAGAGAGAGGGGAGGGAGCTTAGTTTATATTTCTTGAGGGCAACACCTGCTAGATGTCAACACACAACTGGCTGCTGTGGAGACTGAGAATGTTCGGCCAGATGGTTGCCTTCAGTACATGGTGCAGAGTGAACCAATGGAACCTACATGCCTCCCCTGCATCGTCTTGCTGTCACCCCCGAGTCCATGAAGTGGACACTTTCTCACTATTTCTATGTTACGCTAAGGAAGTAAAGGATGGCAGATGCAAAACAACAAATGGCCAAGGTCATGCGTCTGCTAAGGGGTGAGACAGGACCTGATCCCATCGCCAAAGGCGCTTTGCCGCCCAAGAGCACTGCCCAGCCCTATGAGGCTTCAGGCTGGCCCTGAGAAGGACCTGGAATTTTCTGGTGTGTTCTGTACCTCTTTTAAAAGGAGAAATTGTCTTGCAGAGAGCTGCTGTCTAGATGGTTCTAGATGGTCGGAGAGCAGCTACTGTGGCTCAGTGGCTTCCCATGATCTCATTGGATTCTTCTTCCCGTCCTTGGCCTCAAGCCTTTCCGATTGTGCTAAAAGTAGCTCTGACCCAATCGTGGTCTGCCCGGGGGCCAGGACTATTTTGATTTTGTCCTCAGAAGTCATGTGGTCTGAGGCATATGCATGCTGTACTGCTCCCATGAGCACTCAGATGTGGTGCCAGCAATAGTCTGGCCGACACACCTGTTCCCAAAGCTGAGCTAACTGCTGCCACTTACCCCACAGCCTCCACCATGGGCCTCCTGAGATGCTGGTCCCAGGATAAGTGGTGGAAACTGGCCCTAGGGGGCAGTTATCCATAAGGGAAGAGCTGGCCACTTTTTGGCAATGCTGCCTCTTTTTTTTTTTTTTTTTAATTTATTTGAAAGGCAGAGTTGCAGAGAGGCAGAGGCAGATAGAGAGAGGTCATCCATCCTCTGGTTCACTCCCCAGATGGCCGCAATGGCCGGAGCTGTGCTGACCCGAAGCCAGGGGCCAGCAGCATCTTTCAGGTCCCCCAAGCTGGTGCAGGGGCCCAAGGACTTGGGTCATCTTCCACTGCCTTTCCAGGCCATAGCAGAGAGCTGGATCAGAAATGGAAGAGCCAGGACTCGAACCAACACCCATATGGGATGCTGGCACTACAGGCAGCAGCTCCACCCATTACGCCACAGTGCCAGCCCCTCAACACTGCCTCTTAAAGATCTCCACTAGTCAGGAGGCATGTTCATTTGCATATTCATGGCATCCAGTCAGGATGGTGTCCCCGGTTCCCTGCACCAGAAGCCTCTTATGCATAGCAGTCAGCACCCTCCCGAGGAAGGCTGGAGAATTTCCTTGAACGGTGGGAAAGATTCGCCTCTGACACTGGTGCCCTGGTGCCCGACTCCTGCCTGGAAACCATCCCCTCTGTTCTCCCACCATGGCAGGGCTCTTCCTCCCATGCCTTAGCACAGACCGCCCGTTAGTGGGGTTCTGGGATTTTTTTCCATTCCACCCACGCTGTGAGCTCTTAACCTCAGACGTGTTTCCCTCACTGGCATCCAGGATGTCGCAGGCACCAGCACCTGTGAGTGGATGACCCAGCATGGGCAGCAAGATCAGCCTTGCTCAGAGGCCCAGGAAACAAGTCTGAATCTGCTTCCTGTGCTCCTTCACCCCTCTGTTCGCGCAGCATGGTTGCACGTGATTGCTGTCACTAGTCTGGATGCTGGTGCAACGCACGGCCTCCGGGTCAGGGCAGCTGTTCAGAGGCCGAGTGACTACCTCTGCCCCCGGGACTTGGGAGAGGCCTCCCTGGGGATTTGGCCTGTGATGGGTTCTTTTTTTAAAGATTTATTTATTTATTTAAAAGTCAAAGTTATACAGAGAGAGAAGGAGCGGCAGAGAGAGAGAGAGAGAGAGAGAGAGAGGTCTTCCATCCGGTGGTTCACTCCCTAGATGGCCACAATGGCCGGAGCTGCGCTGATCTGAAGCCAAGAGCCAGGAGCTTCCTCCAGGTCTCCCATGCGGGTGCAGGGGGGCCCAAGGACCTGGGCCATCTTCTACTTCTTTCCCAGGCCATAGCAGAGAGCTGGATCGGAAGTGGAGTAGCCGGGACTCAAACAGGTGTCCATATGGGATGCTGGCACTGCAGGCAGCGGCTTTATCCACTACGCCACAGTGCCAGCCCCCTGTGATGGGGTCTTCACAGTAGTTGGGACAGGCCTGCAGTTAGGAAGAGAGAAAGGGCACTCTGGCAGAGGGAACAGTACAGTCAAGAGTATGAACACACAGAGGAGCCTACGGGGACCCCGGCAGGCCAAAAAGCCAGCACAGTTTTGCCATATTTTGTTCACAGGCTGGCTGGCCCTGCTGTGATCCCTGTTGTGAACAGGGGGTGCAGTGAGGCCTGTGCCCCCCCCACTCCCAGTCCCAGAAGACATCAAAACTCCCAGCGTCCCCACCTCTTCAACCCATGGGGCTTGCAATCTCTCCTCCCAGCCTCCCGCTGCTCCTTCCCAATTAGAATGAAATTGGCTCCTGAAGCACTGACGTGCTTCCCTTCTTGTTAGAATCTTAATATTGCATGAATCACAAGTCCCAGCTGCCCCGGCCTGGTGGTCAGGGTCAGAGGTGTGAATTAAAACAACACACGGTCCTGACTGCTGCAGGGGAGGGGAGGCTAAGGCCAACAGAGCAGGTTGCTTCCCTTTGTCACCGGTAATGAGAGTCTTCCCAAGGCTTTGATCTCAAGCCTTTCCCTGGAGAGCTTTAAACACCTTTAAGCGGCCACCACCCCCATAACAACAGTGTGAGGAGCTCCCTTTCATTGAGCCCTTTACAGGTGCAATTTCATTGTCACGCATGCGCGGTTCAGTGGCATGCCCAAGGTCTCAGTGCAAGTCATGATGGAGACAACCCCCCCCCCCAGCACCACTTCCTAAAGCCACACCCAGAGAAGGTGCTATCCTGGTGTGAAGATGCTACAAGGCCTGGTCCTTTGCCCTTTGATCCCCCAGGCTCCCCTAGCTTCAGCGACAAAGCTCCGACCCATCCAGGTGCTCACCACACCTTCACTGCATGCCCACTGGGGGCCAGGCACCCTGCTGAGGCCTACGAAAGACTGGGACACACAGGCCCAGTTACCAGGCAGCTCACCCTTCTCCCCTGCCCTGCCACCCCAGTGGGACCAGGAACTTCTTCCACTGCCACCCAAAACATTCACCTGCTTCAGTGCGACCAGTTTGGTCTTCCCCATGCGCTAGCCAACACCCATTTCCCCTTGGTCTGAGCTTCCACAGTGTTCACTCCCCAACCCACAGCATCAATCTTCGTTCTTGCTTTCGCTCAGCTGTCGTTTGTGTAGCATTCGAATGTGGAAGGTGCTAGAACACATTATGAGTGTGCATTGCATCCTGTCAAAGCACCGTCTAAGAGAGGGAGCAAACCTGTCACCTGCACGATGACTGGTGGGGCTGAGAGACACCTGCACCACTCACCTCCCTTGTCGCCTGCACGATGACTGGTGGGGCTGAGAGACACCTGCACCACTCACCTTCACAGAGACACCACTCAGTCTTGCGAGGTAGGGGGAAGAAGGCAGGGCCACAGGCAGAAGAACTACGATGGTGCTGCCTGGCATCTGGTGACCGGAGCAGTCATCCGCTGTCTCCCTCCGCTGTCCCCTCCGCTGTCCCCTCCGCTGTCTCCTCCGCTGTCTCCCTCCGCTGTCTCCCTCCGGGGAGTGGGAATGGCAGGCCCACGTGGCAGTCTTCCAAAGGTTTAACGATATACTTTCTCAAGTGAAACTAAATGTACGCAAGCATTTCCCAGGTTATAAATATCGTGCAAGGAGTAGTTAGCTTCGTGTTTATTTTCTGTCTCCTGGGAATGCCTAGCATGAATCTGGGCACATAGTAGGTGGTCAGTAAGTATCAGTTCATTTAAAAGGAATTGAATTCTTCTCTCTCTCTCTCTCTCTGTCACACACATACACACACACACACATACCTTAACACCTGTGTGCTTCCGAGACTACTGTACATCTTAACCCTGATCATGCCTCCCCTGCCTGTCCTGACTTGAGGACCAAGTGAGAGGGATGCAGACGTGCCTTGGACACTATCAATACTGACCTGTACTGACCTTGAGAAACCACTCTGGCCCCGCTGTGATGGGAATGAGATCCTTGACGTGGGGGGCCAGCCCTACCCCCCCCCCCAGGTTCTCCCTAGGGGACACTTGCCCCAGGTTGGGCTCACACACCACTCTGGCTGCCTGGTCCAGGACACTGCCACTGAAGTGGACGTGGCCCCCAGGGGCAGCAAGCTACCACATGCCCCCCCTCATCAGCCCTGCCCCTCTCGTTTCAGCACCCCTACCCCACAGAGGATGAGAAGAGACAGATCGCAGCCCAGACAAACCTCACCCTTCTGCAAGTAAACAACTGGTGAGTTGGCGTCACCCGCCCACAGGGCATGCGGAGCAGGGAAGAGAGAGACCAAGTGCCCACCTGGCTCAGCCTCAGCCCAGCCACCAGGCCAGCCCTCCCCTACAGACCAGAAACAGGAAACAGCTTCGCTGGCCCTGTGCAGCTACTCAGCGCCCTCTGCTGGGAAATTGTGTCACGCACATCCCTGGAAGCTTTTGGCTGGGTAGAAAAGCAGGAAAACCTGAGCAGCCAGCCCTAGCACGCTGCTGAGACAGACAGGAACACGCGCAGAGGAGCTGCCAGCAGTCATCTGGTCTACTCCACCTGGCTGCGAACTGAAACTAAAACTTTCTGCAAAGCTGGGAGTAGGAGGGACAGAGAGTCACCTTTGTGACCACACAGGGGTTTCTGCTGTTTCCTTCTGTTTCTGGCTGGGCTGTCAAAGGGAGCCAACTCTGGCTGGATGGGAGGGGGCCCCGACATGAGCCCCCCCCCCCCCCATCTAGAGAGAAGTCAGAAGTTGATGCTTGTGGGGATTTCTGTTCCCTTAGGGTTGTCACCCAGCACCGAGGGATTCCATGAGCTCAGCAGTAGCCAGGGCCCCGTCAGAGTCCCCATCTGTTCTGTCTCAGGGTCCGGGAGCCGCTGAGCCCTCTCTGCCCATCCTAGCAACACCACCCACCCAACGACTAACCAGTCTCCACCCTTACTCCCGGGCAGGTTCATCAATGCCCGAAGGCGCATCCTGCAGCCCATGCTTGATGCCAGCAACCCAGACCCTGCCCCCAAAGCCAAGAAGATCAAGTCTCAGCACCGGCCCACCCAAAGATTCTGGCCCAACTCCATTGCTGCGGGCGTGCTGCAGCAGCAGGGTGGGGCCCCGGGGACAAACCCTGACGGTAAGCGCCAGGCTGAGGACAGCCCAGATGGGGCCCCAGGGTGGGACAGGCACACCCAGAGCTCCTGCAGGGCAGGCTCAAGGGCTGACCATCTTCTCCCCTAAGCCCTAGTTGCTGCTCCGTCCCCGCGTCTGCCCTTCCATGACTTCTGTCAAAGCCTGAAAGAGGGGGCTGGTTATGTTCACACTTCAAGGAGCCAAAAGCAACCTGTCAAAGATGAGGGGGAACCAGTGGTCAGCTGAGTCGACGCCTGCTCAGCAGAGCCCCCTCGCTCCCACACCCATCCGAGCTCCTCAACGCCAGTCGGCCTCAACACAGCTCCTGAGAGCCAAGGCCATCTATAAATACTGAGGCAGGCAGCTGGCTATGAACAGAGGCCAGGAGGAGCCCTTGTTTCCCCAGCCTCCCCATCATGCCCCCATATAACGCGTTCCTAACTGCCAGTAGCCTAGTGCACGGGAAACCCTTCAAACAGCTTGGCGTGCAGGGCCTGCTCTGTGTGGGCTGTGGGGTGGAAGGAGGCGTGCGTGCATGTGTGATACTGTCTTCATGCATACGTGTATGAATATGGCCTTTTACAGGCTCTTCTGGGACGGGCTGTCTTCTTGCACTGTAGAGTGGAAATAAACATTTTGGGGACAGGATCGACCTGGGAGGGAATCCTAACTCTGTCATCTCTGACTGTTGTCTGGAGTTAAGGGCCCACCTGTCTGAGACTCAGTGCAACTCAGTTTTCTCCTGTCTAGAATGGGGATAAGAATGCCTGACTTAAAGAACTGTTAGGAAGTCCTAATGCGCACAATGTATTTTCACAGAAGATGCTCAGTAGTGGTAGCTGGGTCACCTCTTGGGATGGGACAGGGAGCGGTTGTTGAGTCACTGGGTAGGAAACTGAGCAGCTTAGGCCACTGTACCCTCAGAAGCAAGGAGCTCAGCACCCCACAAGCCATCCATGCCAGCCCGTCCGACACCGATGTGGCCGGGCCTGACTCACAGCCTCTATGTGGCCCTGACCCTTGCCCTCTCTCATGCAGGTTCTATCAACCTGGACAACCTGCAGTCCCTATCCTCAGACAATGCCACCATGGCCATGCAGCAGGCTATGATGGCTGCACATGATGACTCATTGGATGGGACAGAGGAAGAGGATGAGGATGAGATGGAAGAGGAGGAAGAGGAGGAAGAGTTGGAGGAGGAGGCCGACGAGCTGCAGACAACGAACGTCAGCGACCTGGGCTTGGAACACAGTGACTCCCTGGAGTAGCCGGGCAGCCCGGATGGCACTGGTCGCTGAGCAGGACAGGAGTGCCGTCAGGGGGGCTTTAGGGTGGGGGGGAGGGGGACACGGGCAGGCAGCACCGAGGAAGCTGGGCCCTGGCTTCCCCAAATCAGCAGCTTGAAGAAAGGCAAGGGAGGCACCTGCGCCTTCCCAACCACGGAGCTTCAATGAGCACCCAGCCCCGCTTCCTGAGGCCGCGCCGTCCAGCAGCCTGCTCGGGAGGGCAGGCTTGAGATCTGGACTCATCGGACCCCTGGGACAGATGGCACCCTCGGGCTCCCCCACGGAAGGGCTTGAGTTGTTTGCAAGCCCTGCACTGTGAGGCAGGTTGGTGCTGTTCACAGAGTGAGCCCTGCCAGGGGACAGATAGACTTAGGAGGAAAGGGACAGACAAGGCGCTCTGGGTTCCACCCCCAGAAGGCTCTCAGCTTCCGACAGACATTCGAGGGTGGGAAGGAGCCCAAAGCATGGCCGGAGGAGTGGGAGGGCCTGAGGCGCCTTGTCCTGCAGATCAGGTGGAATCTGGATCCCTCCAGCCTCTGACTCGTCCCTCCAAGGCCCCCTCGTTGGGCACAGCAACCATGGACTTGGGAGAGAGGGATGGGAGCCAGCGGAGCCTCCTTCTCTCTCCCTTAGAAACAGATTTTGGTCTGGGGAGCCCAAGTGGCAGGAGGTTAAGAGGGGTCCCTTCACCTGGGTCGGCTCCAGAAACCAAGGAGTTGGCAGTGCCTGGGCTGGGGGCCCTATCAAGGTGGCTCTGGGGACCCCAGCTGTCCCTCGCTGGTCGCAGAACTCAGCTCCAGGCACAACAGGACAGTGGTGTCTTACCCTAGACTTTCCACCCCTCCACAGACCTGCCGAGAAGGTGCAGTCAGGGTGGCTTGGACTCCGGCTCCATCGGCCTCCAGGCTCCCGTCAGAAACAGTGGAAAGAATCATCTAACCCAATGGGAGCCAGGGGTTGGAGGAGGTGCTACACCCCTCTCCTCCCACATCCAAAACGGGAGAGGGGACAGGCAGAGCAACGGCACCTGAGAGTGTGCAGTGCTGCCCACCCCCACCTGCCTTGCCGTCCCACACACTACGCACAGCGCCATGGGAACTGGCTCCTGGGAGGAGGCGGCTCTCCACCACCTGCCCTAACACAACCCTCCCTCCCCAACCTCCAGCCTCCTGCACCTGGCACCCCCTCCTCCTGTTCCCTCCCACCCTGTGGCTGTGAATGATGAGGCTGACCACACGTGTGTTTTCCATGGGATTTAATTTAATGGACGTGCAGTTTCATTTGTAAATCATGCATTAGCCATGTCCTCCAGTGACGGGATGTGAGTGGCCCCCCGGCTTCCCTGGAGGGGACCCTTGGGACCCTCTGGGGAGTCCCCTCCTCTACCTGGTTGGGGAGGAGCAAAAGGACGGTCGCTTTCCTGAGGTCTCCCTGAAATGAATGTATTTCTCCCCTAAAAGAGCTGATATTTAATGTTTTAATAGGGATTTTTGAGAAACAAATAACCTTATTTATAATCTGGGTGATTCGATCATTTTTTACTCCCTTTTGATGCCATAGGTGAAAGGATGTCTAGCTTTTTTGGCGTGAGACTTTTGCAACGGTGCAGTGGGATAAAACACATTTCCTCTTCTGGCTCAGTTTTCTTGAAACACACACACACACACACACACACGCTTTGACAGGCGTCCCGCCCGGCACAGGCACACCTGCACACAGGTGCCCACGTCTCTTCTTCCCAGCCCCTCCACCTGCCGAATGTTATGCAACCTCCTTCTGATGTATCCACCAAGCCAGTACTGAATGTGGCCGAGAAGTTTTCAGTAAATCTTATTACCTACCATATCGCTCCTCCTATTTCTCAAATATCTTGTTCGCCGTTGGGTGCACACTCCTCTTTTTCTGTGGTTGCTGTAGCAGCCCCCTTGTTCCTGTAGCGAGACCCTGGGCCCAGCAGAATCTGCAGCCCTCAGCGTCCACCCGTTGACCTGACCACCCACAGAAGGGGACAAGGCAGAGGCTTTCTGAATGACCTTGAATGACCTACTGGGGATGAAGATAGCCAAGTTTGGCACAGTTAACCCTGTCCATGCGTGACTCGAAGACAAAGAGATTGGGGAGAGACACAGGAAGAAGAACCACACTACCATTTCTCCCTACAGTAGCAGAGAATTTGAATTTGGTTCCTTTCTTGTACCATGCTCTACCTCACTTTTTTCCCTCCTCCATCCTAATTCTTTGTATAATCTATTTGAAAGGCAAAGAAACAGAGATATTCCATCCACTGGTTCATTCTCCAGATGTGCACAATAGCTGGGGATAAGTCAGGCCAAAGCCAAGAGCCCACAGCTCAATCTGGGTCCCCCACATAGGTAACAGGGACTTGAGGGTGCACCCTCCCAGGGTACACGTTAGCAGGAATGCTGGAATGGAGAGCAGAGCCAGGTCTAGAAGCCAGGCATTCCCACATGGGATATTGGCATCCTAAGCCTCATCTTTTTTTTTTTTTTTTAATTTTTTGACAGGCAGAGTGGACAGTGAGAGAGACAGAGAGAAAGGTCCTCCCTTGCCACTGGTTCACCCTCCAAATGGCCGCCGCGGCCGGCGCACCTCGCTGATCCGATGGCAGGAGCCAGGAGCCAGGTGCTTTTCCTGGTCTCCCATGGGGTGCAGGGCCCAAGCACCCGGGCCATCCTCCACTGCACTCCCTGGCCACAGCAGAGAGCTGGACTAGAAGAGGGGCAACCGGGACAGAATCCAGCGCCCCAACCGGGACTAGAACCCGGTGTGCCGGCGCCGCTAGGCGGAGGATTAGCCTAGTGAGCCGCGGTGCCGGCCTCCAAGCCTCATCTTAACTGCTGCACCAGTGCCAGACTGTATCATCCCCACCTTAGACAATGACAGTTCTCATCACTAAAGCTCCCGTGCCCCCCTTTTTCCTATTCCGCTGGTGAAAGGTCCCAGAAACACAGGAAGAGAGGCTGTCTTGGTTGCTGCTTTTAATCCTGGAGCTGCACCTTGGGGGATCCTGTCCTTGAATCCCAGTGGTCAGCACTGCATTCCCTGGGGCCAGAAACAATTCAAGGGCACCGTCTGTCTCCCCCACAGAAGTGAGAGGCAGGCATTCGTCTCACCCCCAGACTAGAGGCTGAGATGTTTGGAAGCAAAGACGTTGCCTGCTCACATTCACAAAGGTTGCAGAGTTTGTACTTACTTGGCGGTCCTCCACGGGCCGGCTGAAGATGGGAAAAGGGGTAGGCAGTCCGCCAAAGGGCCCTGAGCCACTCCGAGGTAGGCTCCCTGAGTCAGTGCACTCACAGAGCCCAGCCCCCACCACCACCACTGGAGGGTTCCACACACTCAGCAGAGACCCCCTCTCAGGCCCACAGAGAACATCCCAGAAGGGCAAAGTGATACATTAGAACCTCACCGCCCAGAGTCGGGAAGGCCCAAGTATTCTAAAGCAATGGTTTCCAAGGAACACTCTCCTAAAAGTTATGCTACCAAAACATTTGAAATTCAAGGGCACAGCAAGTTAAGCCACCACTTGGGATGCTTGCCTCCCATTTCGACATGCCTTTGTTCAAATCCCACCTCCACTTCTGATCCAGCTTCCCGCTAATACACACCCGGGGAAGCAGCAGATGATGGCTCAAGTACTTTGGTCCCTGACATCGATGTGAGAGAACCAGATGGAGTGCCTGACTCCTGGCTTCAGTGTAGCCCAGCCCCAGCTGTTGCAGCCATTTGGGAAGTGAACCTGCAGATGGAAGATCTGTGTGTGTGTGTGTGTGTGTGTGTCCCTCTCTCTCTGTCACTCTGCCTTTCAAATAAATAAAATAAATCTTAAAAAAATGCTAAAGGCTCTGAGAAGTCCTGCAGGAAAGAAATCTACTTAATTTTGTTTGAACTGCTCCCCAAATTTATTTACCATTTTTCCCCCAAGTAATATCTATTCACGTTATACCAGGGGCAGGCATTTGGCTCAGTGATTAGAATGCCGCTTGGGACGTCCGCATTCCATACTGGAACGTCTTGTTCCAATCCTGGCTCCTCTGCTTCCGATCCGGCTTCCTGCCAATGCATGCTCTTGGTGACAGCAAATAATGTCTCAAGTATTAGGGTCGCTGCCACCCACACAGGAGACCAGTATGGAGTTCCAGGATACTGGCTTCGGCCCTGCCCAGCCCGGCCCGGCCCTGGCTGTTGTGCACATTTGTAGAGTAAAACAGTGGATGGAAAATCTCTAAATCTCTCTCTCTCTTTCTCTGTCTCTCAACCTTTCAGATAAAATGAAAATAAATAAATAAATAAATAAGAGTTTTTAAAAGAAGAATACCCCTGCCGGCGCCGCGGATCACTAGGCTAATCCTTCGCCTTGTGGCGCCGGCACACCGGGTTCTAGTCCCGGTTGGGGTGCCGGATTCTGTCCCGGTTGCTCCTCTTCCAGGCCAGCTCTCTGCTGTGGCCAGGGAGTGCAGTGGAGGATGGCCCAAGTGCTTGGGCCCTGCACCCCATGGGAGAGCAGGATAAGTACCTGGCTCCTGCCATCGGATCAGCGCGGTGTGCCGGCCATTGGAGGGTGAACCAACAGCAAAAGGAAGACCTTTCTCTCTGTCTCTCTCTCTCACTGTCCACTCTGCCTGTCAAAAAAAATTTAAAAAAGAAGAAGAAGAAGAAGAAGAAGAAGAAGAAGAAGAAGAAGAAGAAGAAGAAGAAGAATACCCCTGATTCACTGCAAAGCTTATCAGGCCATGGGAAAAAATAAAAAGAAACATAAAAGTTATACTCATAGTCTCCAAAACACACTTTAGGGAACAGTATTCTAAAAATATTACAGTGCAGTCTGTCCCAGCCCCTTCCACCTCCTCTTAAGTTTTTCTATCAGATCCTGCCGTCTTTTCAACTCCACTGCCAACTAAAAAGAAGTTTCCTAAATCATCGGAGATATGGGTAGTTGTGTTTTGTGTTTTCATGGCCCAAATGCTACACAATCCAAGGAGGAATGTAGCATAATTCCATGGAAACGGGAGAGAGAGAATAACAGGGGTACCAAGGGGGAATTCTCTTAGCCCCAAAGTGGAACTCTGAGAGTGGAGCCCTGGAACTAATCAGACTGACTTCTGTCCGCAAACCTCAGTCCATCAGGAAAGGCGTTTCAGGCTTGGAGAGCCTGCTCTGGGGGAGCGGATGGCTCCTTGGCCAAGGAGCCCCCCGCCCTGCCTGACCTGGGGCCCAGGGAAGGCCATAACTCTGCAGCCTGCTTGGATTCATTCCTCAAGAGCCATTCATTCATTCAGGATGCATTTAGTAAATTCAGACTCTGCCCCAGGCACCAATGACGAAACTGATCAACAAAGACCAGTTGTGGCCTCAGAGGAATTTACATGCCAATAGAAGAAAGTTGAGACTGAAAGTGTGCTTGTAGCATCCTTGTAATGGTTACAACCTGGATCTTATCTGAGGGCAGTGATCTCAAACCCTTTGATGCAGAGTTGCAAACAGGAGGCTCTCTGGTCAGACATGGGATAATGTTCAGGTCAAATACGGCTTGTAGACATGGCTTGCCTGGACCGTGTACTGTTTTTAAGAATTTTGTGACATTTAAAAATTAGAAGATGGCCGGCGCCGCGGCTCACTAGGCTAATCTTCCGCCTTGCGGCGCCGGCACACCGGGTTCTAGTCCCAGTCGGGGTACTGGATTCTGTCCCGGTTGCCCCTCTTCCAGGCCAGCTCTCTGCTGTGGCCAGGGAGTGCAGTGAAGGATGGCCCAAGTGCTTGGGCCCTGCACCCCATGGGAGACCAGGATAAGTACCTGGCTCCTGCCATCGGATCAGCACGGTGCACCAGCCGCGGCAGCCATTGGAGGGTGAACCAACAGCAAAGGAAGACCTTTCTCTCTGTCTCTCTCACTGTCCACTCTGCCTGTCATAAAAAAACATAAAAAAAAAAGAAGATGACACATAAAAATTCAAATTCCTGATTTCTCCTGGAAAATTAGATGATCAGGCAACTTGGGGTCTATAATCCCACATGGCCACGATCGGGTGTGGTAGAAAAATTACCGCTCCCTGAGGTGCACCCTCCGAGTTATCATGACGGTCAGTGCCCCAGTGGCGTCCCCAGCAACCAGGCCCAACTGCCATCTATTACGGGGCTGACTGATTAGTTATGCTTCTTGCCAGCCTTTCTGTCTTCCTCCTTCTTCTCCCTTTCCCTGCAGTATCTAACTGCTGCTTTCAGGAAGGGAAGTATTTCTCCATACCCACTACTCCATCAAGAGTGAGAAAACAAGATAACCAGGAGGTCCCTGCTTCTGAAATAAAATATTGGTGAGAACATATTCGCTTCTGGAAGGGAAGCTGAGCCTGCCTTTAACTGCAAAGCGTAGCTGTGTCTCCCACGCAGATTCCTTGTCTCCATTGTTACCTGCCTATCTGGTCTCTGTAGGTTATCATGAACCCTGGGGCCCGAGGGTCACCTGGGTTGCTAGTTAGACATGCAGATTGGGTCCCAGGACCAACATTCGCCCCAGGACCATTCTTTCAGAAATGAGTTTTCAGTTGCCTTTTGCAATTCCTTACTTTATAGTTGCTCCTTCTCCCTTTATCCACATAGAGTACAGCCCATAAGTCAGTTATTCAGTCACTAAGCATCCACAGGTGCCTGACATGATACTGGGCACAGAAGGGAATTTGTCTCTGCAGAGGATCACAGGCCAAGGGACACAGCACCGAGGCCTGGCAGTGAGAATGTTGACTTGGTAATAGTCTGTGCATTTCCACTTTGGCATCTGATTGCCACCCCACAGCTGAGGCAGGTTTTATTATACCACTTTCAAGT